CTCTTCTACTTCAGTGCCATGCATGACTGCCTGCTGCCATGCTCCCGGACATGATGGGAATAGCTAAACCTCTAGAACTGTGAGTCCCCAAGTTTTATTTTTTTATTATTTCCTTGATCATGGTGTTTTATCACAGCAATTAAAAAGTAACTAAGATAGTGTACATGAATGTGTGTGTGTGTGTGTGTTTCTCTGTGTGTGGGTGTATGTGGAAGCCTGAGTTTGATAGTGGAATCTTTCTCTAGTAATTGTTCTTCTACCTTATTCATTGAGTCAGAGTTTCTCAGTAAAATACAGAGCTCACCAATGATTCGGCTGGTCTTGCTAGCCAGCTTGGTCTGGGCATCCTTTGGTTCTGCCTTCCCAGGCTGGAATTATAGGAAAGCTACTGTGTCTACCTGGCATTGATAGTTCTAGAGAGCCAAACTCTGTCTCCCTTGCTGCCACGGTAAGAACTTTAGCTGCTGACCCATCTCCCCAGTCCCACAAGGTTCTTATATAGTAATAACTTTGGGAATAACCACTATAACACTTTAAAAAAAATAAACAAAAGAAAGAGCAACCCTGATGTCATGGTGTTTGCTTCTAATCCTACTACTTGAGAGCCTGAGGCAAGAGGACCAAAAATTTGAGGCTAGCTTGACCTATGTAACAAGATCCCCTTTTAAGGAGGGTTAAGTGGTGGCTCATGGTAGCTCTGCAAACTTTTAATCCCAGCGCTTGGGAGATAAAGGCAGGTTGATTTTTGTGAGTTTGAGACCAGCCTGGTCTACATAGTGAATTCTAGGCCAGCAAAGATACATAGTAAAAACCTGTCTTCAAAAAACAAAAAAACATAGGCAGAGGCAGGCAGATTTCTGAGTTCGAGGCCAGCCTGGTCTACAAAGTGAGTTCCAGCCAGGACAGCCAGGGCTACACAGAGAAACCCTGTCTCGAAAAACCAAACCAAACCAAACCAAACAAAAAAAACAAAAAACAAAAAAACAACTCTTTCTTTTTGGGTGTTGCTGTATCACCCAGACTGAAGAAGATCCAGAAACTTCATGGCCGTGACTGTATGTATCGTCAGCATTAGAAGCAGCCAGGAGGCCGGGGTAATACTGATAACATGCATCACCACAGGATCAACTTTGACAAATACCATTGGGTGACTTGGGGAGAGTTAGTATGAGGCATTACCACGTAAAGAACCAAAGCTCTGCCCAGTGTTCAACCTAGATAAACTGTGGACATTGGTCACTGAGCATTGGTCAGTAAGTTGGTAACCACTGCCAAAATAAGACTGGTGCTGTCCTAATCACTGTTGTAGTATGATCCTGATACCACAAAGCTCTGGGGAAGAGAAAGTTCCCTGAGCAGCCTGTCATCATGAAAGCCAAATGCTTCAGAAAAGGACAAGGAGATTAAGGGTGTTGGGAGTTTCTGTGTCCTGATGGCTTGAAGCCACATACATTAATTAAATGCTAACTCTCTTTAAAACAAAAAACCCTGCACAGGGGCCAGTCAGACGGCTCAGTACATAAAGGTACTTGCTACCAAGTATAGTGACTTGAGTTCAGTCCTTGAGACCCACACAGTGAAGGAACAATGACTCTTGAAAGTTGTTCCTTGCCCTTCCTCTTCCCATGTGTGCCATGGGTTGCACAGGTAAGTATATATACATACACAAAAGAAATGATAATCAAAAATTTAAACTGTCAGTAAGCGGAAAGTGAGTGAGAAATGGTCTTCCCCACAAACTATGTATTTGAAAGAGGCTTAATTACATTCATAATAAAGCAGAAGATAAACGGAAGATAACTAGAAATAAAGGGATATTTTATACTATCAGAGGGTCAGTTACTTAGGAAGTAACATTTCTACATGTATGAGACCAATAATCAATTTTTAAAATATATAAGGGCAAAACTGAAAGATGAAAGAAATTTACAGTTGAATATTTTAACACTCTCCTCTCAAATGAAGCTAGAGCAACATGAGCCGGTAAAGATTCAGATGATCTGTACGGTGCTATCCATTATTTGATTAATTGACCTGAAATACTGGCATCAGTGATGGCATAGCAAACAAGTGCACATTGAGTTGCCCTGAATAGGTCCCATCAGTCTCAGAAAACTGAAATCGTGAAGAGAATGGATGGGAATGATCATTCACACATGCAATCTCAGAAGGCCTCTGGGCCACATAGTAAGGCCTGGTCTCAAAAAGTGAAAACAAAAACATAAAAGCAACATGATCTTTCAACTTGGGAATCTAGAAAAAGGAATAAACTAAATCCAAAGAGAGTGGAAAATACACCAGGACTGGGGATCAGGTGGTGAACTGCTTGCTTAGCGTGCAGGAAGCCGAGTGTGAGCTCCAGCTCCAGTCTGTAATCCTAGTTCTCAGGTGAAGCAGGGAAGTCCTCAGCTCAGGGCCAGCATAGCTACACATAGAGACTGTTTCAACAAGCAAGCAGAAGTACAGAGTGTGTAAATATCCAATACTAAGAAGAAAGAAACTATATTAATGGAGAATCTAAGAGAGTAGCCATTACATTATAAATATCAAAACTAAGCTAATAAATTTAGCAATTTAAGAGGAAAGGGGCTAATCCTCAAATCACTTAAACTGTAGAAATGGCACAAGCTTGGGTTGGAAAGATGATGGCTCAGTAGTCAAGTGCACTGGCTGTTCTTCTAGAGGACCCTGGTTCAATTCCCAGCAACCACATGGCAACTCAGATCAATTTGTAACTCCAGTTCCAGGAGATCCAATGCCTTTTTGTGGCCTCTAGATACTCATGGAGGAAAACATCTATACACATAAATTTTTTAAAAAATTTAAATGACACAAAGTGAAGTAGAAAACCTGAACAGACTCGTACTCACTACCAAAACTATCAAACACTCAAAGAAGAAATATCAATATCTTACAAACCCTTATAAAAATAAACAAAGCTGGAGTATAGCTCAGTGATAGAGTGCTTGCCTACCATGCTTGAGGCTGCCTGAAATTAATCCTCCACAGATGGGAGGGGGAGATTTCTCACCAAGTATTATGCTAGCATCCCATTATCAAAACCAGACAGCATAATAAATATTACAGACCTGTGTTCTTTCTGAAAGTAAACTAAAAGTTTTTAGCAACATATTTTAAATTAAGTTGGCATTGTAGCACATTCTTACAATACCCACACTGGAGAGGCTGAGGGAGGAGTATCATGAGTTTCAGGCTGAGACCAGCCTGGTCTTTGTGGCAAGAACCTGTCTTAATCAAACAAAATCATGAAAGCCCAAAAAATAAGTCTAAAAAATATAGTTTACTCTGGAAACACAAGGCTGAACCTATAATAATTCACCATATTAGAAGAATGAGCACATGCCTGTAATTCTAGCATCAGGGAAATAAAGGCAAGATCAGAAGTTCAAGGCCAGTCTTGGCTACACAGTGAGTGTGGGGTTGTCTTGGGCTATATGCATGAAAATTCATTATTCATTTTGGTATTGGCTCTCAACAACCTAAGAGAAGAGGGTCCCTCAGTCTGATAAAGAGTCATAAAACCTTTTCAGCTCAGTGGTAAAACTGGAAATACTTTCCCCCTAAGATTGGAAAAGTCCTCTCTGGTTCTGTCTTCTGGACATCTTATAGAGTATGGTAAGATAGGCAGAGATATAAAAGGTAGAGAGGTGAGAAACACAGTAAAACTCTCTGTTTACAGATTCTGTGACTGTTTTCATAGAAAACCTCAAAGAATCTACAGAAACAAAACCAAAAATGGATATAATGGCAAAAGCCTATAATCTAAGCACGTGTGAAGCTGAGGTAAGAGATAAAGCCGAGCAGGCGAGCACTGCCTCACCCTGATTCAGAAGGAAACAAAGAAGTGGAGGAAACAAGAAAGCTGGAAGTAACACTCAGTAATTTTGCTGTATTTTAGCAGGAAGTAAAAAAAAAATTAAATTTTACTTACTGAGGCTGGAGATGTAACTTAGTTGATAAAATACTTGCCTACATATATGAGCCCAGGTTTATATTCTAGTTCCCAGAATGATATAAAATTGAGTGTGGTGGTGCATACACGTGATCCCAGCACCTGGGAATTGGAGAGATGTAGAAGCAGGAGGAAGAAAAATCCAAGGTCATCCACAGATCCATAGCAAGTTCAAAGTCTGCCTGAGCAACCTGATGAGACCCTACTGCAAAAATAAATAAATAAATAAATAAATAAATAAATTAAAACCAAAAAGGAAACTGCAAAGGAATGCATGGCTTATGGTGATGGAAATCCAAGCAGTTGTTGGCTAAGGGATATAGAAATTGTCTGGAAGAAAGATAAGAGAATTTCTGGAGTCGTGAGAATGTTGTGTATTCTCATTGGGAGTGTTGGTCACCATAGTGAATCATGAGATACTTGAAAGTTCAGTTTCTTCAGCAAAGATTGTTTATATACTATGAGTCCCCCACTATAATAGTTATTAGGGACATAAAAATTGAGAAAGGCAAGTGTCTGGGCCTATAAGGGACATAAAAGCAAAGAGTGGGCACAAATGCTCTGAAGCAAGTAGAACACACCGAGGACATGATTCTCAACTGCTGGGCTAGAGAAGAGACCATAAACCTTCACAAAAGGAAAAAGGACTTTGAGGTTCAGAGAACTCATTAATGTAGGCATAGAAGCGTGTGTCTGATGGTGTTTGAGAGTTGAGCAGTAGGCTGTGACAGCAGTGATGGCTGATGCGAGGCAGCACACTTTAATGTGGAACGAAAGAGGTTGGGCTGATAGTCACTAGGGATTGCTGAAGCCTTTTACATGGGAAGAACATCAGTTCTCTTTCAGCATTTTAGAAGAGAATAATTGTCAGTTAAAAAAGTACTAACATTGAGATTATAGGCAGAACTAAATTAGAAAGGGATTGTAAAATAAAACAGTAGCTGTTTTAAATATTTATTCATTATAAAATTGTGATTATGTTTTTTATGTCTGTCTATTCCCTTTCTTCCTTTAAAATGAACACTAGGAATCCAGAAACATTTTGGACCACCACAGGCATGTTTCCCCAGGAGTTCATCATTTGTTTTCACAAACATGTAAAGATTGAGAAGCTTGTGATTCAGAGTTACTTGGGTAAGCAAATCACAGATTAATTTTTATTATCCTTTAATTTTTCCATAGGCAGAGGACACACGTAAACTTTTGGCAGAAGACTAGTTTTTTACAGCGTGGGACCCAGTTTTATTACTGAAATAGGAGGGTGGAGAGTCTGAGTTAACTGTCTTCAGCACAATTAGCCTCTTAAGTTGCAAACCCTTCCAAAGCACATCATCATTTCCATGCAGCTTGCTGTGTGAACGTCTTTGGCAGAAGACTATTAGGAATGTAAGAAGCTGTCTTGCCCAAGAACTGGGTTCTCTGACATCCTTGTCTTAGGTTCATTTAGCCTGTAGTTCTCAGAGTCTTGCAGTAAATCTGATAAACCCTATTATTCTCATTAAATAGTTTTGATTCTTCCATTGCTAATGACATTTTCTGGGCATTAGGAGTGGAATCTCCTTTTGGAACATAAAGTCCTGTCTGTGCTACAGTATATCAGAATCATGGCAGGAAACAATAGATCCCACATGTTTCAAATAAAAAGACTTTATTAATAGATTTTCTTATAAAATTCTGGCCTGGGCTGCAGGAATGAATAAGGGATAATGGGATCCTCAGAAACCAGCCACAGCAGGGAGCCACTGCTGAGACAAGGAAAGGAAAGTGTTACCAGAGCCCGGAGGTGAGGGCTGGGCTTGGGGAATGAACAGGGAAGCCTGGTCAGCAGGAGCTGCAGTCTTGAAGGGAAAGGGCCATCAAAGACATGGCATCTGCCCTCCGATCTTCTGGTGCCTGCCACTGGCCATCCCTCCCCCCCCCAAAAAAAAGAAAAAAGACGAGTTGGTAAATTAGTCTAGGAGATATAATTTGTAGGAGTCAGCTCCTCCAGAGTAGGACAGAGCAGGGAAGGATGGCTCTGTAGGTCATGTGGGGACAATGGAGAAAACCCTGTGCAGCAGGAAGATGCATGCATGGTATGCTTCTGTCATTCATTATGGAGGTCCTAGATAGGCCGTGTGTGTAAACTCTTGTTCTGGCATTTACTAGCTATAGTTTACTGGACACCTTTCCTGACTTCTGTAAAGCCTATGTCCTCATCAGAAAAGCAGGTTAATAATACCTTTCTCATAAAGACTTTAGCCAAGTGAGTGAACAGATATGCCTGACTCAAAGCATGTTCTCATGATCACGATTGCTAGCAGTATCACAGCCAGTGTATACATACTCCAGATAATAACCAGATTCAGAAAAACACTACTAGATTTGTGCTCTGTAGTGATAAATACTAACAAGGCTACCATTATACAAGGTTATGCTTTACTACAGGATTTGTGGGAAAACAGTCGTAGCTTCCAGGATTCCTGGTTCGAGTACTTTGTGTTGTCCCCAACAGTATATGACAGTCAAGGGCAGCAGAGAAAAGAAGTATAGACACAACAACATAGGATTAAGTAGCTAATTAACATTTTAATTTATTCCATTTATTTATAATGCTAGTGCGGACTTTGAGGATTGAAAAGACCACATCTAAAGAGCCATTGGATTTTGAGCAGTGGGTTGAAAAAGGTATGTATTCATGTCTCCAGTACTGTTCTGAGCGTGAGGGAGTAGATGAGTGCCTGGCCTCTGCGTTTGTGCTAGCAGTCCAACTGCATTTTGGTAAATAAAAGGTAACTTTAATGATTTTTTAACACACATAAGGCCTAGAAAAACACACATTTGTACAGTCATTGCCATGCACTGTTTGTATAGCAACATTTTCAAAATTTTAGGATCCTTATCAAAAATAGAGATGACACATTTAAGGCTTTTATGAGCTAGTGGCTTATATATGACAAGCAAACAAATACTAGCTTCATACCTTTCCTTCCAGATTAATGATAGTGTTTAAGAACTAACTGAGCTGGGTATGGTGACGCATGTCCTCAGTCCAGGATTCAGAAGACAGAGGCGGGGGAGTCTTTGAGATTGAGGCTAGCTTGATCTATAGAGATCATTCTAGGCCAGCCATCACTACATAGTGAGTCCGTTTTAAAATCAATCTTTTTTATAAATAACTGCAGTCCTCCAATTAAGCATGAACACACATAATTACTTTATGTGTCTATCTCCCTTTCTTAGCAAATCCTGTGAAAACAGGAGAAAGATAAAAAGGCATAAAGCTATAAGGAAAAAAAAATATACAAACCCAGTGAACCAGGCAAATGTAGATCAATAAATTTTATGCCAGAGGGACAGCCTGAGCTTCCAGAACACAGCAGATTAGGCTGAAACCTGGTGCCTGCCAAGGAGAATAGCAAGAAGTAAGCTAAGTTATTAATGCAACCCCAGAAAGGCCTAGAATCTGAGAGCAGCAGGTGACGTGGAATATGAGAGGGGTATGGATGACTGGTTTATAATATCTTATTTCAGCATACTGTTCATGAAGTTAGACCAGGAAGTGGGTATTGATTTCAGAAATGTAGATTTCTACCTACCATAACATAAACTTAAATGACAAATATATACAGAAGAGAATATAACCATATTATAATTCCAGAGAAAACAACCTAAAATTAAATTTTAATGTGTATGGATGTCTTATCTGTATGTTTATCTATGCACCACATTCATGCCTGGGGCCTACAGAGGCCAGAAGGTAAGCATCAGATCCCCTGGGACTGGAGTTAAAGACAGTTGTGAACTGCTATGTGGATTCTAGGAACTGAACCCAGGTCCTCTAGCAAAACAGTCAGTGGTCTTAACTACTGAGCCATCTCTGCAGTCCCTTACCCCCGACCTCCACTGCTGCTTTTTATACAGATTTTTACTCTGTATGTAGCCTAGGCTGGCCTGGAACTTACAATCAATCCTTCTGCCTCAGTCTACTGAGTGCTGAGATTTTGAGTGTGTACACCATAGCAGCCCAGAAGTGGAAAGCATGGCTAGAGAAGGCATGGGAATGCGGGAATAGTTCTGCATTGTCTAAGGAAAACGGCTCCAGAATCTTACTTCTTAAAGACTTCCTCTTTGGTGGTGGGTGGCTTTTGAAATTCTGTGCATTATTTGATACAAATTAATATCAAAAGGTATTATATTAACTAAATAGTTCATGTTTCTGAAAGACTATTCAGAGTAATTCATGGCTAAATAAACTGATCCAGCCTACCACTATGCAGATAGTACACAGGCCATTCTACATCACAGTGAAATTTCATGGAGGAAAAATGACTTCTTATATAACTGTCTTTTAGAAGCTTGACCAATAAAAGGGAGGAGGTTGGGGCTGGAGAGATAGCTCAATGGTTAAGAGCACCAGCTGCTCTTCAAAGAGTCCAGAGTTCGATTCCCAGTAACCACAAGGTAATCCACAATCATCTCTAATGAGATGTGATGTCCACTTCTGACGTGCAAGTATACATGCAAATAGGGCACTTGTATGCATATAATAAAGACAGAATCATTTTTTAAAATGGAGGACTTTCTGTATTTTATCATTTTCTTACTTTATCTCTTTAGTATAATTTCTTTAGTAATATTTCTTTGTATAATTTATATTTGCATTGTCTTATTTATAATCACTAGAGGTATTTTATAGCTCATTTTTTAGTGATGTTTTTTTAACAAAGTAAGTGTTGACAATTTCATTATTGAAAGAAACAGCTTTTTCTTTTTTTTTTTTTTCTTTTTTTTTGTTTTTTTTCGAGACAGGGTTTCTCTGTATAGCCCGGGCTGTCCTGGAGCTCACTCTGTAGACCAGGCTGGCCTCGAACTCAGAAATTCGCCTGCCTCTGCCTCCCAAGTGCTGGGATTAAAGGCGTGCGCCACCACTGCCCGGCCATAGCTCATTTTTTAAACCTTTATGCCAAATGTTTTATCAAATTCCAACCCCCAAATAATGATAATTCATTTAAATCTGGACTAAACAATAGTTTGCCAAATAATCACATTTTGGTGAGCACAAATTTCCATGGCTTTCTTCATATATTTCAGCCTTAACCTATTTCTATTAAATTTATGCTTTAGATTTAGTGCACACAGAGGGGCAGCTTCAAAATGAAGAAATTGTGGTAAGTATATATACTTCATAGAGATAAGATTAACTCTAGTGAGCCCAATTTAGATTTTAAGGTTTCTCAGTATGAATTATTCATGATGAATAGCCTTGTGGTATTAGCAGTTCTTTGCCTATTCAACCATTAAATATTATTCTCAATAGTATTATAAGCTAAATGTATTATTAATTAGGCTCTTTTTAAATAAAACTAATCCTGGAGAAAGTATCTGCATGGATAAAACAGAATTGAATTCATTTATTTGTTTTATTTTGCTCAGTGATTTATTTTTTTAAGTATTTGGTTACGTTGTTTCATTTGATTCTGTCGGCCATTTGGAATAGGACACTGGAGGGGTTGAGCTGTCAGAGTTGGATGGTAATTAAGCGTGAAAGGACAAGAGAGGCTTAGATAAGGGGAACTAGAGCATAGGATCAGCAACAAATAAGCCAGAGAGCTGAAGTGGAAAGAAACCAGGGGGGTTTCTGACAGCATTCCACTGGGCTCTGCTTGACAAGTGGAATGAATGCCACTGACAGGGAAGCTGCTGCTTCATCAGGAGTCTCTGTCTCTGCCAGTTTGTCACACCCTAGTTTTGGACAAACGGGAACTAGTAAAATTCTCCAAGTGTGTTTAGCTGCCAGTGTTGGTATACAGCTCTTCTCCATGACATTTAGAGTGGCTTCTTACCTGCTAGGTTTGTGGCTTTGCGCCCTCCAGGAGCTGTTGTGAAATCAGCATTTCAAAGACTCCTCAGAGGGTGGTGGAGAGAGCTCAGTCTACTTGTAGTGCGTGCAAGTGTTAAGACTTGAGTTTACTCTCCATCACAGTCGTGTAAACCCAGTCCTGGGAGGCAAGATCTTTGGGGCTTGCTGGTACACACACACACACACACACACACACACACACACACACAGACTCACACACTAGAAAGTCCATTGGAAATGTTTGAATCCCACAATTCACTTTTCCCCCACTGAAGTTCTTCCAGTGGGGAGTCCAGTAGGAACCAAAAAAAAAAAAAAAAGATTAACTATACTGAATTGCTTCTGCATTGTTTGGTATTGAGGATGCACTGGGAAGAGTTATAGAATATTTGCAAAGCAGAAATGCAAAATAGGAGCCTGGGAGCTACTCACACGTTTATTACTGATAGCTGACTGACTCCGTTTGTTCTAGCTGCTGACCATAGAACTCAGGTAGCACAACAAAAATGTGTAGAAAACTTTATATCATCTTTTTAAACTTAATATTATATCCTAAGATTTATAATTATATTTTAAGTACTGCTTACCTGTTTACATGTATTTAAGCTAATGCATGTTCTCTGTCATCACAAGTCATTGACAGCGGGCATTAATTAGCACATGCTCTGCACATTATGACCTCCAGCTTTTTCATTATTTTCTAAGAGTAAATTTCATGGGATGGAACTACTCAGGACAAGAGTATAAGCATTTTATGGCTTTTTATGTATATTGCCAAATGCCTTTCCAGGGACATTATATAAATGTTAGAGCGTAGTCATGCTTTTTAGGGTAGTGTATTCCAAGGCATTATTAACTGACGGAAACTGGTTAGCATGAACAGCTCTTTATGAAGACACTTGTAGAACAGTTGATCAGAAGTGTGCGTTTGTAATTTTTAGCCCTCTCACTGTTTTTCATAAAGCCAAGAGTGACAGATACCATGCCGAATCACTCGCAGACACCTGCAATGATGCTGGCTTGCCTTCTGGACACTCTTGCCTTGTATTTTGTTACATGTAGAAAAATTACTCATCAAAGCCTTTTGTTCTGCCAAATGCTTGTTAATAGTTGCTAGGGTTGCTAAAAGCGTCCATATTGATTTTTTCTCTTACAGGCACGAGATGGCTACGCCACTTTCTTGAGATTCATCATCGTCTCCGCGTTTGATCACTTTGCATCTGTGCACAGCATTTCTGCAGAGGGACTGACAGTCTCGAGTCTTCCTTAGTCATTACAGCAAAATGCTCGGAACCACTTTCACAATATATGTATTGAAACACAAAGCTATCTTTGATACGTTTACTATTAAATAGATTTGTATCACTCTGTTTCCATCTTTATTCATATTTTCTTCAGTATTTTGGGCAAAGAAATTCTGGTTCCATGAGTCACCAGTGTTTCCACATTTTCCATAAGGAAAATTTTGACTTCATTATACAGCTTAATCAAGGAAATGACAATTCATTGCGCCTCTGTTGCATCTCCTATAGACCCCGTCAGATTTCAATGCATGAATTTTTTAATTTATTAAGTTATTTTTGCCAAAGGTTAAGTGAGCAGTATAAGCAGTGACAGTGACAGAGTCATGGGGAGAAGAAGAACTTACGGGAAGGCTCACTGCAATCCTGGAACCTGAGCCGATCTCGGAAAGCAAGTCAATTTGTAGTTGTTTGTTTGTTTGTTTGTTTGTTTGTTTGGTTGGTTGGTTGGTTGGTTGGTTTGGTTTGGTTGTTTCTAAAACAGATTTTCTCTGTTTAGCCCTGGCTGACTTGGAACTTGCTCTGTAGACCAGGCTGGCCTCAAACTCACAGAGATCCGCCTGCCTCTGCCTCCCAAATGGTGGGATTAAAGGGGCTGCAGCCACAGCCACCACCGCCTGTCATTTATTTGTTTGTTTTAATGGTTTATTTGATTTTGGTGAAATTTAAAAAAAAATTATGATTTAAGAAGACCTCAGAGAAAGATTAAAAAACATAATCTTTATTTCCCAATGACAGTAATTATTTTATATGTCCTGACAGACATTATTTTATATGTCCTGATAATTTTATAAAGCAAGGAACACAGTTGGATAGACTGATGAAATAAGACTTCTTTGACTATATCTTACTGTTGTTTTATTTTGAAAACTTAAATAACCAGTATAGCAAAAAACTAAATTACAAAGCAATTGCAAAATATACTTTCTTCCCTCTGGTTGCATGTCTTCATGTGTCTCTTCTAAGGAAAGCAGTCCTGTTGTATTACGGGTCCACCCTACTCAGTAAGAGTTCATCCTTATTAGCCATCTCTACCCTGAAATGCCCAAGTAAGGTCCTACTACTCATGGACTCCAGTTATTAGGACTCTAACGTGCCTTTGGGGGGATGAAGTTCAACCCACTACATACTATATTTATATAAGGGTTAATTTTATTCATCAACTGGCTGGTCCACGGTCACTAGAGGTTTGTCAAACATTATTCTAGGTACTTCTGTGAGTGTTTGCTTTTAATAAATTAAGCATTTAAATTGGTAGGTTTGGGATAAAGTGTATTGAATGCCATAAAGCACTAGGCCTAACCCCACCATTTGGAGCTTCTCACTTCTGGGGTATGTGAACTCACTTCACAGAGCTCTAAGCTGCATCTCAGCCTACGCTGCTATGGGATGATGGGCTTGCAGGGAACACCACTGCACTGCTCAGGGGTGGGATAACAGTGCAGCCTAAGATGGGGACTTCAGCCTCGGTGAGAAGCTACACAGGCTGAGGCCCAAGAGTCAGGGGTTACCAAGCTCCTGAGTGTCCAATCACTGCTGGAAACCATTTGGAGTTGGAGAACAGAGGGGCCCTGTGGGCCTTCAATGAGGCTGGGGGGGCAGTGTACAATTCCAGCTTTGCTTAGTGGGCGAGTGTCAGAGACCAAGGAGGGACCTTCTGTGGGAGACTTAGGTGGCAGCTCTGTACAACAAAGGCTTCTCCCCATGGTGGTTCTTGATGAAAGAGACAGTCCTTGCTTGTCTATACTATTTATTTGCTGTGCCTTATGGAAAATGGGTGCATACCACTTCCTCAGGGTGGAAGAGAGATTACATATCTTTTGCAGGAAGGAATGTCCTGGAAGGGAAGCTCATCGGCTAAACCCTCAGGGTCCATCTAAATACTTCATTAGCATGGAGAACTCAGTGTTCTGTGCTATGTGACCAGTGGCCATGTTCTTTATGTGGGGAGTTGTGGTCATGTGTTCCAGGCCAGGAATCTGGTTGGCAGTAGGTGAAACACTTACCATCCTCATCATCATGAGATGCCGGGGTTCCTGAACCCACTCAGCCTTACCAAGTTTCCTGGCTGGGTCTACTGCCCCACAGGAACTCCTAACAGGACAGACTACATCCCCTGAACAGGAAGAGACTGAAGCTGCAGCTTTGGTTCTTCCATGGCTCTTGCTTTTGCAAGCCTTCCCACTTCCTAGCAAGTTTGGACTTGAACTTCTTTGAACTAAGTGAAGTGTAAGCTGCTTCTGCTTAGTTCTAAACCAGCCCAAAATGTCCTGGCAGAAGCAACAGCTTCACCTCACAATCTTGGCATGTTGTTCCTAGTTTATCCCTGATTGGCTGATTTCTGTGGTCAGCTGGCAACTTAGTCTAGGTAACAAAGGTTTGTTGGATCTAGGTGTCTTCAAGCAGGGATAGTTCTCTGCTCCAGGAAGAGCTTTCAGTGATCTACCCTGAGCCTCTTCAGTGATTCTGAAAAGTAGCAAGAGAGGGAGAGGAAAAGCCCAAGTGCAAGCACGTTTACAGTCTGCCCTGATTTCCAGATTATGTCGAATAGGGAAGGCTGGTGTCACAATACAAGTCTACCCAAGGACAAGAGCGTAAGAGGTGTGGGAGTGGGGGCTATTGATGCTACAGTCCCTTATACTCACCTTCGTTTCTCCTGCTATGATTCTGTGAGGCACAGAGCAGCCTGTGAGATGTGCTGGCCCAAATTGAGCTTGAATGTAATCGAGCTCCAGGATTAACGTCCGTCTTCAGTTAATTCTCAAGGTAGGTGAACAAAGGAAATGATGCCAAGGGAATAAATAGACAAATGGCTAAAATGCTCCTATCTGTGACTTCACTGCTGGTGCTCCGGTAGTCTTCGGGGCCTTCTTTGGGTGCCGTGTGATCAGTTCTGGCCAATGAGATGAAGAGGAATATACTTAAAGGCTAAACATTAAATTGCCTTGGTGAGACCCTTCAAGGCTCCTCTCTGCTGCTCTGACAGCCAGCAATGGTCTGTAGCGAGTCCAGTCTGAGTTTGGGAGCGAGGCCAATGGCTTACAGATGGTCTTCACCTGAATTGTCTTCATGGTAATGGAAAGTGTGCTGTGCTTGGGAGTTTCTGGAGCTTCCTGTCCTTATAGTCTGACCTTGCAGGTCCCAAACCATACCCAGGTGCCCCGACTCTGTCAGTGTCATGGAAAACATTAAGGAAGGGTCTCTACTTAGTCTCAGAGACATAGAGCCTCTACAACCGCATGTCATGTGTGGATTTTATCTGGAGCCAACAAACCAACGGAGAAAATATATTTTAAAGATAATTTGGGACATTTGCTTGTGGGCTGGGTATTGTTCTTCTTTCTAGATATACTGGATGTAGCTGATGGCTTTTTGTTTTCTTTTCTTTTCTTTTTTAAAAAGCCTGTTGAACCTGGAATGGTGGTGCAGGCCTTTAATCCCAGAACTCAGGAGGCTGACGCAGGTGGTTCTGTGAGTTTGAGGCCAGCCTAGTCTACAAAGTGAGTTCCAAGACTGTCAGGGCTATGCAGAGAGAACCTGGGTCAAATGAATAAATAAATAAATAAATAAATAAATAAATAAATAAATAAATAATAGTAAATTAAAAAAATTGCCCAGGTATTTCCATGATATACATGGCACTATACAAAATTAAAAATAAAGTAATAGCTAGGGTTTAATTTTAAACATGGAAGCAGGGATACTTAGTGTTTTGTAGCTTGAGCATGCCAGGCAAATGCTTTATTATTGTGCTACACCTCAGTCCAATTAGAGATTTTTAATAATTTTTTTTCAGGTTAATTGAAGCAAATGTGTCCATGATATTGAATATGGGTGGTAGATATACGGGAGTTCAATATGCTAGCCTTCTTTTATGTATTCTTAAGATTGTTCAGGATGAAAGAGTAAAAATAGTACCCCAGAAAACTTTATTTATTGAGTTGTTTGTTTGTTTGTTTTCACAGATTGAGCATGTATCTATTGAAGAAAATCGAGAGTAGGGTGGGTTTGAGGGGGCACCCTCAGAAGACCCCTTGTGCTTACGTTTTGTGTGTCCTTCAGATAGCTTCCTCAGATGAGAGTCCCAGAAGGAATCAAATCCAAGCTGGAATAGCAGCTGATTGTTCTATTTGTTTGTAGGGATCAGAAATAACAGCCAGGGCTCCACACTGTAGGCAGAATTGCTCTTTCACTGAGCTCCATTCCCAGTGCAGGGTTTTAAAGCCCTTAGGATTCATGACAAATTGCTTACAACAATCTGTGACACCAATTTACCTCTGGAAAGTAAAGTCTGGGGTGGAGGCAAAGGAAGTCAGAAAGGAATGTGAGGAACAATGTTGTCATCGAAGATGGGATGGTGACTACTCGCTCATAAATCACATCTGGGGAGGAATGGATAGAAAAGTCCGACGAAGCAAAGAGTCAGCTAATCATTGTGCCTGTACAGCTCTCAAGTGCTGTCCTGTAACACAGAGCCATTACTGTTTTTGCGAATGTGACCTAGAGCGATTGCTTTCATGTTCAATAGCATGAAAGGCCGAGGATTTTCTTTTGCCAAGTTCCTAAGCTGAAATGTCAATAATTCTTTGCACAAGAAACTCCATGTTAAGGCTCACAGATTGCTGGAAGGAGTCTCTGGAGTTTATCTAATCCACCTCTGGCACACGCCTCGTGAATTCTCTTTAAGTAGCTTCTGCGAATTCAGAGAACAGGGGCCACTGATGTCCTTGTAATACTGCTTCATATAGGACCAGAAGGTAGCTGGGGTGGGACTCAGTGGTAGAGTGTGTGCCTAGCAGCTCAAGGCTCTGGGTTGCATTCCCAGAAACAAAAGCAAACAACTAACAGAGACAGACACCAAGCACAATTTGAAAGCTGCTTGTCTCCCTAGACCTTAAAGCAGTCATTCTCACTGGTTGGCGGTGCGGGATCACCTGGGAGGCACCTCCCTTCATTTCCATTTGCCTTTACACATTGACATTGTTGCCTTCCCTCTGCTGAACCCCATTCTTAAAGGTTCATTGGTTTTGCCCCTGACCCCCACTTGCTGTATGTAGGTGAGGTTCTGT